TAGTCTTTCGTGGGGGACTCTGTCGAAGGCATTGCTAAAGTCGAGATAAACCACATCATAACAGCTCCCTGTCCACTGGATTCGAAAACTGATGAAAAGAATGCTAATAGACAGTTAGGCAAGAACGTCCGCTTGTAGCTTCATGCTGGGAATCATTGATCAATCGGTGCTTCTCCAGGTGGTTTCGAATAGAGTTTGAAATGATTGATTCTAGTAGTTTGCCTACTATTGATGTTAGGCTCATTGGGCAGTAGTTAGAGGATAGTGATCTATCCCCTTTCTTGAAAATCGGTATTACATTCGCTATCCTCCAGGATTCTGGTACTACACTTGTTTTTAAGGACATGTTAAACAACTTTGCTAAGGGCATACTAAGCTCTTCCTTACATTCCTTTAATACTCTGGCAAATATCTCATCGGGACCAGGTGACTTATTAGGCTTTAGTTTGTCTATTTGCTTACTAACATCGCTACTAGTCACTACTATCTCACTTAATTTGTTTTCTTCACTATCTCTGAATAGAGTCGGTGCCTCGGGTATCATGTTTAGATTTTCGGTGGTGAAAACTGTTGAAAAATATTTATTCAAATTATTGCTCATTTCTCCGTCGTTATCAGTGAGCTCGCCGGAGTCTGACCGTATTGGTCCAATCTTTTCTCGTGTTTTAGTTTGATACATTTGGTAGAATCCTTTGGGGTTTGTCTTCGCCTTCCTTGCTATCCTTACCTCATTATTCCTCTTTGCTTTCCTTATCTCGGTTTTAACTCTACTCGCCAATACCCTATAATAGTCCCGGAGGTGAATTTCGCCACGATTTATCCTTCTACCTATAGCCTTCCTTTGGCCAATGATGTTCTTTAAATAATTATTTATCCATTTAGGGTCATTGTTGTCTGATCTGAGTTTTTTGTATGGTATGTTCTGCCTTTGTGCATTAAGTAACTCACTATTTAAATTATCGTGGAACTCGCAATCTCAGATCTCGTTATCAGGTCTGTGTCATCTGTCAGGTTCACGGCCAAGCTTACACCCCTCTCTCCTAGCTGCCTCTTTAAACTGTCAAAGTTTGCCCTTCTGGAAATCTGGTAATTTTTAGTGGAATTTTCCCTACGCCTGCCCTGAAAAATCAACTGGAATCAATTTCTTTGTGATCGCTGTTTGCAAGTTCGCTCCTACCCCTATTGCTAATGAGGTTTTCTGTTCATTGTGAACTAAATCCAGTATATTATTACCCCGTGTGGGTTCGGTTATATGTTGACTTAGGAAACAGTCCTGGATCGTCTCGAGAAAATCCTCTGATTCTGAGTTACCCGTAAGGACAGTCTAATCTATTTGGCCAAGGTTAAAGTCGCCTACTATACAGACTTTGTTGTGTATGGAAGCCCTGCGCATTTCATCCCAGATAAGTCGCTCATTGACGCTATCAAGATTGGGGGTCTATATATTAACCCTGTGATTAATTTTTCCCGACCGTCGCTTAATTCTATCCAAATTGTTTCTGTATTCCTCTCAGTTTTTATTTCCTTATTTATTTCACACTTCAGATTATCCCTAACATAGATTGCTACTCCGCCTCCTTTCCTGGTCTGCCTATCGGTATGGAACAGTTTGTAACCCGCAATTTGGTATTCGACTGGTAATTCACGTGTGTCTAGGTTGATCCATGTTTCAGTGAATGCAATTATATCGATTTCTTCGGTACATACCAAGGCCTTAATATCATCCATTTTGTTTCTCATACTTCTACTGTTCGCGTAGTATACATTTAAGTTAGTCGTGTTCTGAGTCCTTCCCTTACCGCGTTTAGTTTTAAACTCCCTGTCTAATTTAGTTTTGTCATCATTCCTAACACTATTTCCCTGTAATCTTTCGCCTTGTTTACCCGCTCCCACTGCAGTCTCCTCCACCCCCGTGCTCCTATGTTCTCTTAGCAGTTTAAAGACTTCGATATCTTTTGAACTGCCCCCTCTAGAGCCCCCTACTAATCTTCAAAAGCACCGCAGCAGTCGGTAGTCAGGTCAGAGGGTAAGATGACCCAACCTTCTCACCTGGTTACAAATCTATGGTGTTGTGTGGCAGTAGGTGAGAAGGTTGGGTCATCTTACCCTCTGACCTGACTACCGACTGCTGCGGTGCTTTTGAAGATTAGTAGGGTCACTACCTAGTGACCGGACCATTGTGGACTTAATCTCACCCTCCTCTAGTGTATATACAGTACAGTCGACCCTCGTTAATTCGGACCCCTTTAATCTGGATTTCGGATAATTCGGACAAAATCTGAACGAACTTTTTTTTTTTTTTTAGGAATATTACCTACGCGGACCTTAAGCTAAAATACTGGTCCACCCACTGCTGGGATAAAACACCAGCATCTTTTTGGTTAAATGTAACATCTCCACCACTAGTGTGGAGGGGGGATGCAACTTTTAGCTTCAGACATGAAAAATATTTACCATTTACTGCCAGTAAACAATGGAAACGTAAAATATGTACCAATTAGTAATGAAAAGTTGTGCAGTTCCTTCAGCAAATGAAGCTCACCAACTTACAATAGGCTAAATCACCTTACAACGTGTTTTCAGTAGTCTATGTTGAAGTTCTTAGCACAGGCTAACTTATCATATCATATACTGTATCACAGTACTCATTGATCTACAAAAAATACCGGTAATAAAAACCTTTTCGATATTTCACACGTAATATAATACCCGGTAACCTACTTCAACCTCCTATTGTTTACAACGACGCATGACACACCACCAGCTGTTGAGTATCAATCAGCTAGACGGTACACGTGTTTTTCGAATCGTTTTCAGTTAAAAAACTGTTACATCACACGTATATTTTACCTAAACTGCGCCTGAATGAATATATTCTCGGAAATAAATAGTAGTTTTGCTGAAAAGTGATGTATTTTAATGTAAAATAGGATAAAATACATGACAAAAACAAAAGATATTACCTAACCTTCCGATGTTCAAGAGAAGTTACTCGTTTTTTTTAATAGTTTTTGGTTAAAATACTGTTATATCACAATGGTATTCTATTCATACTGTGCTTGATATAATACATTCACGGAAATGTAATATTTTTGCTGAAATTACATACGTATTACTGTGGAAAGTGCGATAAAATCGTGACGAAAACAATGACTTTCGCTTTCGTTCGTTCAAAAGATGTTACCGTAATCGCTTTTCGATTGGTTTTCAGTTAAAAAACCGTTGTATTACAATAATATTCTATCCTAATTGACTTGAATAAATACTACGATACCATATTTCTGAATATTTTCATTAAAATCCATCCAAATCATTTTCCTTGTCATCGTCTGCAGCACCAAACAGCTTCTCCCAGTACTCTCCTTGAACAGGGCTAGAGGGTACGTGTCTTTCGAATCGTTTTCAGTTAAAAAACTGTTACATCACACATATATTTTACCTAAACTGCGCCTGAATGAATATATTCTCGGAAATAAATAGTAGTTCTGCTGAAACATGATGTATTTCAATGTAAAATAGGATAAAATACATGACGAAAGCAAAAGACTTTACCTAAGCTTTCGATGTTCTTGAGATGTTATTCGATTTTTTTTACTAGTTTTCGGTTAAAATACTGTTATATTACAATGATATTCTATTCATACTGTGCTTGATATAATACATTCACGGAAATGTAATATTTTTGCTGAAATTACATACGTATTACAGTGGAAAGTGTGATAAAATCGTGACGAAAACAATGACTTTGAAATATGAGATATATTCCCCCTAAATCGGTTAATTCGGACAATCGGCTAAAACGGACACCCTCCCCCCCTATTAGTCCGAATTAACGAGGGTCGACTGTATATGCCTTATATCTGTACTCACCCCTGAAGATGTGAATTACACGAAAGCACTTGGGAACTTAGTGTTTTCTTTTTTCTTGTGGTTATCAGCATATAACTGGATCACATGCACCTACTGTACAGTGATTTACCTGCATATATATATGTATATACAGGTTGACAATTCTTTATCCGAAATCCTTGGGGCCAGAGGCATTTCGGTTTTCGGAATTTTTCGGTTTTCAGAATTTTATTTTATTTTTTTTTTTGTGTATTAGCCCACCTGGGCATAGATCACTGACCCACATTGGGGCCTGGGGGTCGAAAATATAATAAAAATAATACTAATAATACTAATAATAATTCATAGGTCTAGGTCGTGTTTCTCACTTTTGATCTTTTTTTTCATTCTTGTATTTCTTTACTGTATTATTATTTTATTATTACAGTATTATTGTTATTATTATTAATTTTATTATTATATTTTATTATTATTATTATTGTTATTGTAATCATTATTATTTTATTTTGGTGTATTTTTATTAAAAATTTTATTATTTACTATGAATAATAATTATTATTATTATTATTGTAATTATTATTACTATTACGTTTTTGCCCCCCAGGCCCCGATATGGGTCAGTGATCTGTGCCTGGGTGGGCTAATAATCCCTGTTAAAAAAAAAAAAAGCCCTACAAAAAAACTTTCGGTTTTTAGAGCTTTTCGGTTTTCGGAATTTCGGATAAAGGGTTGTCAACCTGTATGTATATGTATATATATATATATATTCCCTGACTTACGACCGCCTCAGTCGTACCCAAAATTTATCTAATTACGTATTTTCGAGTCCTAATGTCAGTTATTGCAGTGTACTGACAAAATTTTCGTTTGTAATTCATTTTAAAATGGCTGGCAAGCTTAAAAGTAAGAGTTTTGTGGTGCTGAGAAGAAAAGAGACACCCATTTTAGATTTTCTATGGATTATTTAAGCATTTTCGACTTACGACTTGGATTTGGGTCCCTAACCCCGTCATAAGTCGGGGAGCAGCTGTATATATATGCATCAGTAGATACGGTTTAGGAAAAAGAAATTATTTTGACAGCTCCGGTACCTTAAAAATTGGCACTGCAACACTGGGTACAGGTACATAATTAATGGACCATTTACTCACTTTTGCTGCTGCTTCCTGGGCAGCTTTTAGACTTGCAGCTGATCCAGTTTCCTTCATGCTCAACTACGCACAAGGAGAGAAGACCCCAGCTCGAGCAAGGTCAAGGTCCATATGTGATGAGTTATGTCGTCTCTGGAAAAATAAAATAAAATATAAATAAATAAATCATGAAAAATGTCCACTTGTTATTTCACTAAGGTAAACAATGTAATTAATTAAAACAGCTGCATTCTTGACATTTCTATCCTAAAATGCATGAAAAATACTTAAAGGAGCACATAATATGTTTACACTTCCTTCCATAAATTCAACACCAGACCAACACTAATTAGGTAACAAAAAATAATCAGAAAAACATTAGTTACAGTCGGGCCTTAACATACGCGGGGGTTACGTAACAGAGATAGCCATGGATGTTAAAAATCCGCGTATATGTGCTGCCCCCCCCCTCCCCCCCCCCAAAAAAATAACCCTGGCCCCCCATGTCCTTATTTACCATATATACCTGTGTGTAGTTCGAGTTTTTAAGACCAAATTATTTGGCAAAAAATTGGGGGTCGACCTCTAAAAGGGTAATAGTTTCGCTAGGTTGAAAAATATTTACCAGTAACTACCAGTAAATAATGGGAACGATGAACCAACACACCACCAGCTGTGAGTGTCGGTACAGTTGCCAGGGCAGATCTCTTGCGTCATCATAGCAAGCCCAAAGTAGCCAAATCCATGGTATGGTAGCACAGGACGATGCAAAACATAAAATATTCATTTATTAAAGTTTATTTATAGATACTGGACATAAATTTTTGTTTATTACATTTGAAACATCAATCTTTGTTAATTAAATTTGAAACAAAAGAAAACTACGATACCGTATTTTCATTAAAATATTACATCACAAGTATATTTTACCTTAACTGTGACTGAATGAATATACGTATTCTCAGAAATAAATATAGAAATGTAACATTTTTGCTGGAATGACGAACATATTACAGTGGAAAGTGGGATAAAATCATGACGAAAACAATGACTTTCGCTTTCTTTCGTTATTCAAAAGATTTTACCGTAATCGCTTTTCGAATGGTTTTCAGTTAAAAAACTGTTGTACTCGTACTGTATTACAATAATATTCTATCCTATCATTAGCCTTATAATCCCACAACTGAAAACCATTCGAAAAGCGATTACGGTAACATCTTTTGAACGAAAGAAAGAGAAAGTCATTGCTTTCATCACAATTTTATCCCACTTTCCACTGTAATACGTACATCATTTCAGCAAAAATATTACATTTCCATGTTCTCAGAAATAAATGGTAGTTTTGTTGAAACGTAATGTACAGTATTTAATATTAAAATGCAAAAATAGTTATAAAAACAATTAATACACCCGTAATGTACTGGCTGGCATCTCGTCCCTGCTCACGCATCCAAGGTCACCACTCCTCCCAACTCGCTCCCTCCTCCTCACCGTCACTACTGCCGACAACAAACACAAATGTTTTGTGAATAACTGCACCCCCACTTCCTATGTACAGTACTGAACTGTGCTGTGCATTTTTACAAACAATAAACATGGCAAGAAAAGCTATTAAAAAAAAAAGAGATAAAAATTTCTCTTTACTGTACAGTTCCTATCCTCGGCGACAGGACAGGGGTCATCGGGCTCATCGTCACTCAATTCCATAACGGGTGGTGAAGTGGGGGCGACTGTGGATTCAGCTGCTTCCTCACTGCCGCCAGTGATTGATGGTGTTAAATCTCTCCTTCGGTGATCAAAGAACATGGTGATGGGGAGTTGTCGTCTCTTTCATTCATTTCTTCCATGATGTTTTTGTATGGAGCGAAAACGTCATCCATCCCTCGCATGAATTTCAGGGCACGCACCATGGAGGGGTCCATACTATAGGCCAGGTTTTTCAGTGCCTCAATATTCCTGGTCATCTCCCCCAACTTCTCCAACGTTATTTCTTGGTGCTCTTCCTCATCCTCTTTCCCTTTCGCTTCCTCTTCCTTGCCTGAGTCTACTAACTCCTGTAGATCCTCCTCGGTCAGCTCAGTGTCGTGCTCTTCAATTAGCTCCCTAATCTCGTCCTTTGCCATGTACTGGAAGCCTTCAGCAGCCACTTTCCTTGACAGTGCCAAGGTCTTTCTGAATATTTTCATTAAAATCCATCAAAATCATTTTCCTTGTCATCGTCTTAAGCACCAAACAGCTCCTCCCAGTCTTCTCCTTGAGCAAGGCTAGAGGGTACGTGTTTTTCGAATCGTTTTCAATTAAAAAAATGTTACAGCACATGTATATTTTACCTAAACTGTGCCTGAATGAATATATTCTCAGAAATAAATAGTAGTTTTGCTGAAACGTGATGTATTCCAATGTAAAATAGGATAAAATACATGATGAAAACAAAAGACTTTACCTAACCTTCCAATGTTCAAGAGATGTTACTCGTTTTTTTAATAGTTTTCGGTTAAATTACTGTTATATTACAATGATACTACATTCACGGAAATGTAATAATTTTGCTGAACTGACATACGTATTACATTGGAAAGTGGGATAAAATCGTGACGAAAACAATGACTTTCGCTTTCTTTCGTTCAAAAGATGTTACCGTAATCGCTTTTCGAAGGGTTTTCAGTTAAAAAAAACTGTTGCATCACAAGTGAATTAGGATAGAATATTATTGTAATACAACAGTTTTTTAACTGAAAACCATTCAAAAAGCGATTACGGTAACATCTTTTGAAAGAAAGAAAGCGAGTCATTGCTTTCGTCACTTTCCACTGTAATACGTACGTCATTTCAGCAAAATATTACATTTCCATATTCTCAGAAATAAATAGTAGTTTTGCTGAAACGTAATGCATTTCAATGTAAATTAGGATAAACTACATGAAAACAAAAGACTTTACCTAACCTTCCGATGTTCAAGAGATGTTACTTGTTTTTTTAGTAGTTTTCGGTTAAAATACTCTTATATTAGTGATATTCTATTCATACTGTGCTTGATATAGTACATTCGCGGAAATGTAATATTTTTGCAACTACAATGCTGATGTCAACACAAGTGTGGTTACAGCGAGACTGAGTGAGTGAGGGAGAGCTATGCGCGCGTGTGTGTGTGTGTGTGAGGTTGCGGGAGCGGGCGGTGTCCTGTGTTCGGTGCCGCGCGCGATTTGAATGTACTTCAATGTACAGAATATTCCTCCGGCGGGGCAATCCGCGTATTTGCAAATCCGTGTATTATAAACCCGCGTATGTTAAGGGCCGACTGTGTGTGTATATATATATATATATATATATATATATATATATATATATATATATATATATATATATATATATATATATATATATATATATATATATATATATATATATATATATATATATATATATATATATATATATATATATATATATATATATATATATATATATATATATATATATATATATATATATATATATATATATATATATATATACACAGTAGTATAACACCATGGCCTCTTAAATTAATCCTTGTCCCGGTTTGGGCATAAAAAATTATGGTAAGCCTAATTATATAAAAAAAAAAGTTGCAATTCTTCTATGGCACGTTTTTCTTAAAGTGGCTTGTAATAACATGTGTGTGCATACCATCATAAAATTAAGATGTAATTTTTACTACAACGTAGATATTGTGTCTGAAAACGTGGAGTTTGGGGGTCGGGCCAGTCTCTATTGGAATTAATCCCATATGTTCTGTTGTTCACTTTACGAGGTACCCCATGGGTTCAATTGACCGCGTAAATCGGGGTACTACTGTACAGTAAACCATCGATAACTCGGCACATATGGGGCTCTGGCCTTGCCGAGTTATCCCAAATTCCGACTTATCGAGGCACTTCACCCTCCTACAAAAATACAATAAAAAATTATCGACCCATATACTGTATGTTTACAGCAAGTCCTCGCTTAACGCCGGGGTTATGTTCCTGAAAACACAATGTTAAGCGAAACAACGTTAAGCGGATCGATTTTCCCCATAAGAAATAGATAAAATACGGGAGTTACGTTCCTGAGCCTCCCCTTGCCCCATGAAAAAAGTTACATACAGTGGTCCCTCGGTTAACGAAATTTCGGTTAATGAATTCCTTACGAATTTTTCTCAACATGTTTTCGTCTGCTTTCGGCTGGTCATCAGCTGTAATATTAGTCTGCCAATACAGTAATCAGTTTTAGGGCTTAAATTCCTTACCATTTGAGTAAATACCAAGAAGGTTGTACTATTCAATAATTTTCCAAGTCTTATATTAAATTTTTTAGTCATTTTAACAATTATTTAACATAAGTGAAGTACAGGGAACTAGTTTTTAGCGCGCCAAACAGCCACTTGATTCACCCAGAATGGCGTCAGTTTGTGTCCCTGCTCAGTGGGGGAAGGATCTTGCTTGAGACTCTCTTGAACATAAACTATTTTTATGTTTTTACAGCACAATTATTGGTCATTCTGAAGTTTATTTTACATATACACAATATATAATGCAGTGCAGTGTTGATTTAAAGAAAATAATCTTGAATTACACCAAGTGAACTAAAATTTTATGGGTGAAATGGCAACATGAAGCATGGGGTGACTTCTCTTCCACCCCAATGCCTTCTCTTCTCCCTTCTCCACCCCCATTCTAATTTCCATCATCATCATCATCAACCAGGAGCCTTCTACATACACACCTCAAAGTAAGTGTACTTTACTGCATTTATTTTTAATTTGTATGTAATTTTCGGTGAGCTGGAACAAATTACCCAAAATCCCATTGAAACAATGGTTTCCTTTAATGAAATTTTCGGTTAACGAACGACCTTCTGGAACGAATTGTGTTCGTTAACCGAAGGACCACTGTACTAAGTTTGTATTGATACTCACTGATGGGCGGAGGTGGTAGAGCGAGTGTGTGTGGTGGGTAGTGGAGCTAAGGATGAGGAGGGTGGAAGCGGAGGAGGGCGGGAGAGAAGGGTGGTGAGTCACTGAGACTGCGGTTGCCTCCTCCTCTGACTGGGGTTCCTCCGCCGCTGGTTGCTCCTCCTCTGTTGTTGTTGTTTGCTCCTCCTCGGCTGCCGGCTGTTGTGAAGACTGTCCT